TTCCTTTAGACCGATCCATCTTTGGACGGATTTCTAGTGGAATATTGGAAACAGAGATAGTGTTTTGATGTGCACTTTAACTGCCCTCGTCAGTAACCTCACTGGACAAAGCGAAGAGGTTGAAGATAGTTGAGGTCAGGACGACGAAACGAACGAAATCCCTGGATTTTGCATTGTTGATTCCGTCCAGTGAGTGAAGTCAGCGTATGGCGAAAACCTAAAAGCACTGTAGATTTCCTTATTGGAAATCATCATCGGTACGTATTCCACGAATATCCAGACAGACTGGGAATTGCAACCTCCTGACTTGCAGTTAAAGACCAAACGGCTTGGCAATGAGCGCCCGATTAGCAGTGTGTTTAAGTCAAAGCAAGACAGGAAATGGTGTCATTCGCCGTTTAATCGCGTGCTGACTGGATGAAGGAGTGGAGCCTCTTGGGTGGAAGGCTCACGTGCCATGTGAATTATTCTCACTTTTTAGCTACTTGCGGTATGTTGATAGTATGAGGATATGTGTGAAAACTTCCAGTGGAAATTTTCACCCCAAATAAGGAGACTCTGAAATTACCCCACCCACCGGTAGTAGACTAGGCATCGCTAGTTCGATATAGTCACTTTATAACGTGCTGACCAGTCTTCGAATTAGTTAAGTACTATCATCTTCAAGAAGCATTTTGGTTGCATTTGCAAAACTAAAGCTAACTTGATTCAAGATGTCACATTACCCCAGGCAGTTGTATAGAATCCAAGAGAAACTTCGGTCTATTTAACCAGATTGGCAAAATCAGTTAATTTGCCCGAATTCTCGACAGGCGCTTGAATGACTTGCTTTTACCTTCCTCACTTGATTTTAAACAAGGAGATCGATAGGTTATGGCCAATGGCGTATCTTTTTGCTTTCTCCTTGGAGGAAAGGTCATGACTGTTCCCTGCGATTGTGTGCATATGGAGCATTCATAGGTTGATCAGTTTTCGTCCGTTTACTGGGTCATCGTCTGGATCACCCAGCGGTGAAAACTGCCTTCGTTTTGCATTTCTGGCTAGCAAAACTGCAGCAATGTATGCAGGGTATAGATGTGAGAAACGCTTAGTTACGTACTAAATATGGAACGACGAGAAAAACGGCTACGACGAGAAGTGGAAGTCTCCAAGTGATGGTAGACTAAGGAGCTGTGTTGACCGGAATATCACTCGATTTGGGCTGCATATCAATAAACAGGTCACAGCTGAGTAGCTACGTCTGAAAGTGATAATAAGATACCCAGATTAAATGCTCATGTCAACATATACCAAACGATAATTTTTCTAGGTCACCAACTCTCCTGACTGTCATTGCCCTCCGTCCATCATCAGCCATCAATGCAACAAATCCAAACATTAGAAACAGCATTAGGACACGGAACTAATTTACGATTGTCTTTTAGTACAATATAAATAATTGAAACAAAGAAAAGCTTCGTCACGTGAGTTTTGCTTATGAGCATATGTTGTTTGTCCTACACTTACAAGTTTATGTTCTCGGCTGAATCTGTGAACGCTAAATGTTAGTTCATTAAAAATTAACATCACCAAACTGTGTGTCATCCCATCGTTTGAAAAGTCATTAGGAGAGGGAATGGGAGAACTGTCGTAAGTGGTCGTAACCACGTACTTTCCCGACATACAGTATTCCTGTGGCTACTGCGGACAAGGTTATTCAATCAGACATTGCAATAAGAGAATAAGGTGTTACGCGTTCACAGATTGGTGACCAAATGGCATACAGGACAACAGTAAATATATTCAGTCTCAAGAATTATCAATACCTCTGCTGGAGATGACGGATTGTATAAGCGAAGATATTCACTTGGTCAGCATTGCAGTAAAGGTATTTTTCTCAGCTTAGTTATCGGTCTGAGCCTCCCAAGCTAGCGTTCACATCAAAACAACCAGCAAAGGTGCACAAGGTATATTAACGCCAAAAACGAAGTCAGGAACACTTGTACAGCGCTTCATATACATAGGCGGCAACAACGTTCTGGAAATTCTGACGCGTTCTGGATGCGTCATCGACAACCGCCATTCGGTCACTACTGAGTCATGATTGGCTGTTGGGTCCCGAATTTCGACCAATCAATTCTCGGCTCGATGCCGGACCGGCAAGCGTCCCGAATTCTTGGCCAATCTTGCGTAGGATGGACTTCTCGGCCGTAGCAGCAACTGAGTGCGAGCGGTAAAGAGGGATCCGTATGGACTTCCGCCTAACAAGCATCCACATGGAAAGTCCAATTACAAATGTAACAGAAGAATTACTTTTACGATATGCCATTTATGTGGCTCGAGTTAGCTCAGTGGTTAAGGTGCGAACTTACTGACCCAACAGTCCTTAGCTACTTGACTGCTCCTGTCTAGGCTTAAACAGCCCGGCAAGATTTGTCTCTCTTGTCTTTTTCAGGTGGCAGAGCAGCTGGAAAACGAAACGGTGCAACAGTTGAACGACAACTACTTGGCCCTTTTTGTTAAACGGGGCGCAATCTGCTAGCAGATGGTGTGGCTATGGGTCTACTCTTGAACTGATTCTAACCGACATATTCATATCCAAACAAGTCTTCAGGGCACACACTTCTCATAGGGATCCTGGAAGTGGCTTGACTACAGATTTAACCGGGACTCAGTTCATCCTCCTTCCTCGGACTCCTGAGGACTTTTGTAGGTGTCTGGGCCGTACCATTTTAGTATGTGATTAAAAACAAAGGTCCCCTGACAGAACTTTTAGTATCTCTTACTAATACATTAAGTCAACGTGGTAATTGAAACAAGCTCACTTGTGTAGACCTGCAAATCACCAGATAAACTGGTGATCGCATACACAGGAGTGTCTACCGGAAAACTAAAAGCATAAGTTTGTACACCGAACGACTCGTTTCCTTGTGGCGGAGATGGACAGAAAAGTGGTGAGCTGCACTGGCACTCATTAGCTCGCCTTGCAATTGAGTTTTTGCCCCATCATATATGTTATTTGGTTTCATTTCGGAAAGCAAAGTTGATGGGGATTTAGCGATGAGGATTATATGACAAGCCCAAAAACAGGTGAACCCAGTAGGGGCTTTTCCAGACTTTTCATCAACTTCGTGAGTAGTATTTAGAAACATATATCAATATAATGAAAATAGTTTTGACTGAAAAATGAGCAGGGCAGTATGCAACACATTCAGTTGAAGAAGTATACTAACGAAAGATACAGGTAATATTCAGTCATTAACACCATGTTAATTTGCAAAGGAATCTATTCCAAAACATAACCGTACTAGTTACGGTCGTATACCACATTGAATCTTTCCTCATTCAGTGAGCCAGTCTACATTCAAAACTCTGCGTAGCCTGAGAAGTTAGAATGCATTATACAACTATTGTTAACAAAGTTTCCCATTCGCATATATCTAATGTTTTCCTCTTCTACAATGGGTGCACCAGGAACTGGAGGAAGGTTATGTAAATACAATGATGGCCACACAAACCGAAAACACCTAGCCTAATACTCACCTATTCACCTATTCAACAAAACAAGGTGTTGTAGCGGACAAACCCTCATTCGAGTGGTCTTCAAAATGCCCCTGATTCCTTAGAAAAATGCCTTCGTTAGAAAAACCTTACACTTACAGGACGAAATCCCACAAAAATCCCAAATCTCCTCACACTACCAACAATACATAAGTAGCTCAGTGGAAGAGTAAACTTCACCCGATGAGTGAAAATTCTATCTGAGAATTCGTTGCTTGAGGAGCCAGGCAACACGTGTGACCACGTGATGTGGATCCCGTGGTTGAAGGATGAGCGGCTCTATATCCTGTCTAAGTGCGAGTTAATCAGGCTGCTGATCAGCCACTTGTGGCCGAAGGGTTAAGTGTTCAAACTACCAGCCGGGAGGTCGCGGGTTCGAGACCCTTCGGAGTTTGGTGAGATGCGCACTGCTCATGAATCTCAATAAGGATGAAACAGCTGCACAGTGCTTCTTGGCTTTTCAGCATAGATTGGCTTCACTCACAGGATAAAATGTATGTATGTCAGAAACAGATTCCATGGAGAAATAATAAAATCATATTTGTTGCATTTTGATCGTTATCGTACTGCGGGACTGATTACTCAGCCCAGAAATGAACATAAACAGGATGGAAGAATGGGCGTGTGACCGAAGGAACAGAACTTTAGGTGGTTTCATGAAATATAAGTAAAAGAGCGTGGTTATGCTCACGAAGTCCAATGTCGCATCATGCCAATCACTAAAATATTAGCTGTCAGATGACATTCAGCACATATACATACATGCATACACACACGGAGACAGACAGACAGACAGACAGACAGAAGACAGACAGACAGACAGACAGACAGACAGACAGACAGACAGACAGACAGACAGACAGACAGACAGACAGACAGACAGACAGACAGACAGACAGACAGACAGACAGACAGACAGACAGACAGACAGACAGACAGACAGACAGACAGACAGACAGACAGACAGACAGACAGACAGACAGACAGACAGACAGACAGACAGACAGACAGACAGACAAGAAAGACAGGGGCCAATTCTGGCCGCAATACAAACTTGAATATATCACTGGCTTGGCTCGATTTTACACTTACGCGCCAGCAGCTCACGCGAGGGGCGAGATAGCTCAGTGATGAAAGCCCGAAATCGCTGACCGAAAGTTCCAAGGTTCTAAACCGGCCTTTGCCTTTCGACTTACCCTGTCTAGGTTTGGACAACCTGGCAGTATCCCAGCCTTCCTGCTTCCCTCGAGTGGCATGGCATTTAGGCACCGAAGGGGTGCTACAGTTGGACATACGTACACCAGCATGAGCCTTCCTGTTGCAAGAGTTTTCTTTCATCAAGCCATAAGCTCTTGAAGTTGTCATCGAAAAACTGTCGGTTAAACCGCTGATCTTTAGGAATCAGCTTACTGCCTTGAAAGCGCAACAGGACATCCACGTGTATGTCTGCCCCCTGATGGATGGCAGATTATGAAAGAATTACCGAAAGTCACCCGGTGATTGTTTCATATTCGGATGAAGGATTCAAGATACTTTGATGCTCTGTTATACCATCTATCAGCGTTCTATCTTGTGCCAGTTTGAGTGTAAAATGAATTTATATCAGTTCAAGAAATGATGGATGTAAAAGTTGCTGGAATCCTCAAGGATAGACTGAATATTAGGTTTGAAAATATCAAAAAAACCAACCGTTCCTCCGTGGCTTGGCGTGCAATAAAAACATTTCAATTTTCAACTAAACAAAGTCTTCAATCGAGTTTTGGTTGACCTGGTCGATAAACGGATTCTGGCGCATCTTATTCCGTATCAACAATTGAATGTGGCCCACTGCAGAGTACAATAGGGCTACCATATCGGTGACCGGCCAAGAAATGTCGCTTGGAGTTAGCAGATCAATACTTCACTGGGAGCAGACACGAATCGAGACACAGAGCATTTATTCTCCCATCAATTTCATTGGGGGGAGTCTAAATCCTAGTTGAGTCCCCTGATAAAAACCAAACCGGTGCTTAAACGAGTGGGGTTTTTAAATTTCGTACAGTTTGGTTCAATTGGGAAGTGAGACTGAAGGAAGCTCATGGACTACAATTATCTAATGAGCCCTGAGAATAACATTGAGGACAATCCAGCAATCTCGTAAGTACTCTCCAAGAAAAGCTATCATTGGGTTGGGTCTGCATGAATATTACACGATATTATTATGAAGTCAATCAAACGAGCGGGTTAAGAACTTTCTATGAAAATTACCTCAAACTTTTGAAAAGCCCAACAAATGTTTTGAGGGATTTGTTGTGAAATCCATTTTTATGTAGGAGACATTTTGCAAAGCTGGTTTGTTTTTCTTCTTCTGAGGGTCCCCTCCCCAAGGAGGATGTAACATAAAAGCATTTCATGCTGCCATTCCCCCTTGTGAAAACAATCCTTCAGTGACGAGGGAAATGCACTTTTGAGCCATTGTGGTTTTTGTAGGTCTGATGTCATGAACAGTGGCGATAAACTTCACGGCAACTTCAGCATGCTCTTCGTGACTAGATCTAACTCGGATATGAGGTCAAGTGAAACAAAGTACAGGCATGAGACACCCCCCAAATCCACTATAGATGAACCGGTGATGAGATAGAAACATGAGCAAAATCCAAACGAAAGGGCATATCACATCTTACCCATAAAAGCTCTCTGGAAAATTCCGGATACAGTCGTAATTACAGTCTTCGCCACTCATTCCGCCAAAAGGAATGCGTCCCCGTCGAAGGTGCGTTTTAGAGTACCCCAAATGACAAGAGCCTAAGAGTAAACTAACTTCAAGTGGAGACTTTCTAAACGGTGCCTCCTTGTTCATCCCCATCATTACTAGGGTGGGCACAAGATATCGGAGAACTAGAGGGATGGAATACGGAAGTGCATGCCGATGGGCAGGTAATGTTGAAAATCGCACTCAAATGACTCATAGAATGGGCTGCGTATTTCAGCTGATTTTTTTCGCGTTCACCGCCTCACCGAAAACGTGACAAACCAGTCCAGATTTCGTCTATTTACATGGGAGGACCACTCACGAAACAGTGTTATCTTATCTGATTCGCATTGTCCGTAGAGTTCCCGTAGCTGTCTTAATTTTGTCCCGTTACCAAGTAAACTCTGTTTGCATTGTGATAACGGAATGGCTTTCTCTTCCATCGCCAAAGAACGAACGACAAAATACATGCTTCTAGTTTGGCGCCATAAGATAAACTTCGTAAATGTTTGCCTACTACCTAGTTCTTAGTAACAGGTGTTTACCATTAATGCGGTCAGCCGGTATCACAGTTTCAAGCGCACATGTATCATCATACGCCACAATAAGTCAATTCTTCTCGGTTTATTATTGTGAATAATGAATGGTCTCTTGCTGGATTGCACTCTCACTGTAAGCAACCTTTTCACCCTTCGCAGAAGCTGTTGACGACTGTGTGTGAATTTCAGTGGATTCGAGGTGTAGCTCGCAGGGTACCGAAGCATTCGCCAACAAACTCATGTTGGCGGTGGTATATACATGCAGGTAGGTGCCACATGCGTATTGTAACTTGGAACAATATCCGCTTTCTTCGCAAAGGGGTAGCTGTAGGCTTATCTAATAATCCATACGTCTCAGTAAATTACATCAGCTCCGATAATTCTCACTGTTCCATCGCATTCACTGGCTTTACTTGCCATCAGCGAATATGTGAATTTGAGCAGAATGGTTGAACCTAGTACACGCATTGCACGGTCAATGGATGGAGTAACTGACTTATCTGGTAGTAACATTGGAAAGCGTTGGTTGATAGCTAGCTCGATAACTCCTTGGTTTTAAACTCATTCTGATTTGGATAGACTTCAGGTGGGGACGATCGGGCTGACCGTTCTCTGCTTGTACTGTTGTGCTCACTGCTTGTAGTTGTCGCCTGCAAAGAGATATTCAGGTGAATTCCTGTCCATACTCCCCTCAATATCCACTTAGTTTCCCAATAAATCATTATTGCAGGATACATACACTGGCGTAACCAAGTAGGAAGAAAGGGTCCTAGAGATTCGGGGGATGGGCTTACCCAACGATCCCCATGAGAGTTGAAACCGGTAGTGAGCTGTCATAGGCATCATAGGTACTACTGTAAGCAACAGGTTATTTCTGACAATGAAAATCTGTTCTCCGAATCAAACCCATTCACGTGTGGAAGCAAGGTAGCTCGGTTGGTGGAAGCTAGAATGGATGCCTATCGGAGGATACTATAACTGGCAGGCCGTTCGCGAAACTCGAATCCCGAATAACCTTATGGATAAGAACGCACACTTGTGTACCGATGAGCGAGGTACGAATCCTTAGGGTTTTTACTGGCTGTCAGTCACTCTCCTCATGAAAATTCGCACACCTCACTAATGAAGATGTAGCGTTCAGGTTGAGAAACATTGAGCTGGGATCACTTTAGCGATGCGGGCTTTATTTACTAAGACTTCACTGAAGGGGATTTACACCTTCAACTTGGCAGGACATACTACTCATAAGGTTGCTGAAAACCTCCGTCAGGCTATGTGACGTAGTCATATAATACACCATCTGTGACCCTGATCACAAAAGCCCAAACTCACTTTCGTTTACCTGCGGCTTGATGAAAATATCCAGCTGGACGACAGCTTACTTGCTTTACTTGCCATCAGCGAATATGTGAATTTGAGCAGAATGGTTGAACCTAGTACACGCATTGCACGGTCAATGGATGGAGTAACTGACTTATCTGGTAGTAACATTGGAAAGCGTTGTTTGATAGCTAGCTCGATAACTCCTTGGTTTTAAACTCATTCTGATTTGGATAGACTTCAGGTGGGGACGATCGGGCTGACCGTTCTCTGCTTGTACTGTTGTGCTCACTGCTTGTAGTTGTCGCCTGCAAAGAGATATTCAGGTGAATTCCTGTCCATACTCCCCTCAATATCCACTTAGTTTCCCAATAAATCATTATTGCAGGATACATACACTGGCGTAACCAAGTAGGAAGAAAGGGTCCTAGAGATTCGGGGGATGGGCTTACCCAACGATCCCCATGAGAGTTGAAACCGGTAGTGAGCTGTCATAGGCATCATAGGTACTACTGTAAGCAACAGGTTATTTCTGACAATGAAAATCTGTTCTCCGAATCAAACCCATTCACGTGTGGAAGCAAGGTAGCTCGGTTGGTGGAAGCTAGAATGGACGCCTATCGGAGGATACTATAACTGGCAGGCTGTTCGCGAAACTCGAATTTCGAATAACCTTATGGATAAGAACGCACACTTGTGTACCGATGAGCGAGGTACGAATCCTTAGGGTTTTTACTGGCTGTCAGTCACTCTCCTCATGAAAATTCGCACACCTCACTAATGAAGATGTAGCGTTCAGGTTGAGAAACATTGAGCTGGGATCACTTTAGCGATGCGGGCTTTATTTACTAAGACTTCACTGAAGGGGATTTACACCTTCAACTTGGCAGGACATACTACTCATAAGGTTGCTGAAAACATCCGGCAGGCTGTGACGTAGTCATATAATACACCCTCTGTGACCCTGATCACAAAAGCCCAAACTCACTTTCGTTTACCTGCGGCTTGATGAAAATATCCAGCTGGACGACAGCTTACTTTTCCCGGAAAACAGAAAAACGTCCCTGAATACGTAGTAGCTGGAGTCAAATGAAAAAGGCTAGCTACCTGTCAGCTACCTGTAAGGGCTAGGCACTCAATTCTAACTCGTAGGTGTCTGCGACTTTTCCAAGTTCACGTTTTGTTGAATATGGTCTTCGTAATCAGATAGCAGTCTCGTCTGTTAGTTCATTACGGTGAAGACTTTACTCTGAATCTCTCTGTCCGAAGGAACCCGTATTAGCAGGATTAGCGCATGCATTCCTCACTGTATAGTGGTCGCCACTTAACCTAGTTGTATGAAACTGCTTGCCTGTGCTCCGCCTCTCGTGCAGGTGATTCCCAACTCGTCATTTAGTACTGGCATTGCACGGGGTGCGTGCCCTGATGTTAACCAATTTTTGTGTTCCTGACCGACCTTTTATTCCCCCCTCAACTACATGGCTTTGTTCTTTACGTTAAAAATTATCAGTGAACTGATGATCGGACAAAAAAAGGAAACACACAAGGCATTTATTTCAGCCATTTGAATTGCAGGTAATGGCGCCACTCTTGATTCCAGTATCTGTGCAATCTCCTCCAATTAGAGGCGAGACATACCAGATTCGGCATTATTTTGACCAAACAGCAAGGGTGAGAACGGAACACCCTTTAACGGAGTGAGTTATGAGCGGATGATTCCGGAGGCGGGTGACGGTGTGCATATTCGGATGGGAAGTGACGTGTAAGTTACTTAGCACCTCAGTTCACTTCACCCTCTACGCCGTTTAATGTCATTTGGTCTACAAATTAGCAACCGGTCCTAGAGGATAGCTCCAAAATTCCAACAGCTGAACTATTTGGGAAACCGTTTGCTACTCAAAGATAAGAATGTGCTGCTGAAAAGTGCAAGTAATGAAACTTGACCTTAGAATGAGTGTGTAAGGAGATTCAACTGGATATTCTGCTGGTTTGTGCAAAGGAACGTTTTTCATTGCTGTGTGAAACGATGGGAGCCATCGGATAACCGGGGAGTATATTTTGCTTGTCATTTACCAAACAACTATTTGAAATAGAAGTGTTAGTACTTCCCTGGTTTCCCATCTAAAATTATCCAATTACAGATATCGAGGTGCAGTGCATCTTGGGCCGTCCACTGTATTCATTACTCATCGCTTCAGGGCCCATTGGTGACTGCTCATCCCGATTTAATGTTTTGGAACTACTTTACGGTGATCCAACCAGGTCTATTATCTGTTTTTCCGTCTCGTTGAAACATTTGACGTGCTGTCGACTGCCGGTTATCAGGTTCGGAATGACTTTCGAGTTAGCGTGACATAAGCACTGTTTTTCTCATCCCTGTCCGGATGTCTGGTCAACTAAAAAAGAATGGGCCTTCGGCGGAAGTGTAGTCAGTTCTGTGTCCAGTAACCCGATTCCGAAAAGCGAACAGAATTAATGTGGCGTAATGTATGAGCAAAAACGCATACCAAGCCTTTTTTTCATTGCATCAGGTGCATGCGTATTCTCGTTTATCTAAGACTTAGTTTGCTTGATAGCGGCTGTCTTCGGTTGGGAGCGAGCCGGCCGCACCATTAACCCAGATCAAAGCACCCCAAGCACAACGAACCAGAGCGAATTCCGAACGTGTTTCAGGAGCTCAGTGGTTAGAATGCCAATTTACTGACCGGAAGGCTCGTCGTTCGAACCCGACCTCTGCATCCTGACTTACCCTATCGAGGCTTGGGCAACCTGCAGCATCGCAGCCCTCGGGCTTTCCTCGGTTGGCATGGCCGTTAGCCACTGAATGGGTACTACAGCTGAACTGTTGTACTGTATTTCCGGATTCAATCTTTAACCCAAATACGTAACTGTCAAGCTGCTTATCGACATTCGAGTTGACTGCAATGAGTAATGCTTTATTGATCCCTCGGTAGGACAACGTTAGCGGGAGTACCGTGGCGCTGAAGGCAATTTTGCCGACGGTTGTTCAGGTGACTTATGCAGGACGTGTCCATGTGCATTGAACAAGGATTCGCGTACTGCTTCATGAGAGAAAATCGCTACCGATCTCCCAAGATGACTATCTCAGGATGATCACATAAAGTAACGTAGGAAAGGTAGTCATGTATACCCGAACCTTGTTTATGTGGAATATTTCACTCCAATTTCGAAGTGAGTTCTGTGATCAATGAAGCATGGATGAAATCGATGGCACATCCAAAAGCTTGATATTTCGATACTTTACGTGAGACACCATCACATCCATCAGATACAGCCGAATCATTGCTGACACTGATGGCCCACTGAAAAACCACCACGTAGTTTATCTGGTCAAAGTACAGAATGGAAGAGTGGGGACTTCGTGCTAGCCTGTTGCCACCATTCTAAGGTGCATACACCTCAAAACGCTTAGCCAGACAAACTGAAAACAAAGCCACTGGCATCGACCAGCCACCATGTCTTGCAAAGGTTCTGGCCAAGTGCGGAGGGTGTCCTTGGACCACATCCTTGAAGGCGAACCACACCAAGAATACCCCAACCCCTAGTAATACTTTTGCGCTCTTCTTCGGAGTCACACGTTATCCACCTTGAAGTGTGTAACATTCTGAAGAATGCAGAGAACAGTTATCGTCTGATTAGATGATCAGTTGGTATGCGCAGCACATAGCCGAACTACCACAGTTGATGATGCTGTATGTTTCCAACGACCAATTTACTCGCTCCGCAAGCAAATATGTCTGAAACCACCAACACTCCTGCTGGTCAAAACCGGAAGGGATCTCAGATCATCTGTCCAGAAATATCACCACCACACGGCCCTTGCCGTAGCTTCGTACCAACGATCCATGAAACATAGTGATACGTCTTTTTCACACCACGACTAACATCAATTAGCAAACGTGATTCAGGCCTTTGAGACCCGTACACTAACTTGACCATACATCGCCAGATTTAACAACTAAAGAGGTATCTAGAATTCTCCACGACCTCCAATCTCCTCGAAGTGAAAGGAGCTAGATATAGCTCAGTGATTAAGACGCGACCTCATTAATCGTAGTTTGAAACCAATCTATGAAACTCGAGTGCTCCTATCTGGGCTGAGCAATCTGGCGGCATCTCGTATTCATTCGGTGGCATGTTTGTTAGGAATCTAAATGGTGACTCCACAACCCCAAATGATTCTCTCTGGATTGTAAGGGGTACGTTATGAGACTGTATGTTTTGAAGCAGAACTTTGCACTTTGAAGATGCTAGGAGCATGCTGAAAGATGGTATGCTGGTGGTCAGTCTATTCAACAGGGCTTGTGCTTGGTGTTCAAAGGTGAAGACATCGTCGTCCACGTACTGTAGATCGATGAGGTTCTTACCAGCAACCGCTTGAACACCGGGGGTCTTGCAGACCTTACAACATTCGTCTCATTAGTTCATCATTGAGGGACTGAACCTTCGTTCCGGACGTCACATCTTATAGAGTTCACCCAGAAAATGTGAATGTAAGAACCGGATCGTCTATAAAAATCTGACACGTCCCCATTGAGCAGGTGTAGTCATAAGCGCTAACCAATCGACAGAAGCGAATTAGCAACTGAAGTCAAAGAACAAGATCAAGGGTTATCTTTACATATGGAGTAGCTCTAAACCCTGACGGAGTGCGACGCAGAATCTACCTGATTGGTGCTCACGGGTCAATGATTCACGTATCGCTGTAAGACGACGAAGTAACAATGACACCGGAAACTTTACTACAGGGGGGCTTATACATCTGAGGTTACCACATTCACTGTGAGTACCCTCATCAAAGATGGACACTATTATCCGCCCATTCCAGTTGTATGAGACGGCCTCTTTCTCCTAGATAGAGGCGAATAGACTAGACGGGCACCGACCCATGAATTCACCACCGACTTGAAAAGAGCAAGTGGCAATCCATGGAGACCAAAAGAACGACGACGTTTGAGTATCTATACACATTTGGAAACATCGCAGGCCATAAGGAGCTCCACGTTTTCTTCACAGACCGGCTTCACGGATTCGAGGTAACAGACGGCCAACTGAATTGTTGTGCGAGATATTCTGTCCATCGGTTCAAACTGAAGGACCAGGAGACTATGTCTCTCATATCGCTGTGCGCTGAGCAACCTAGAGTGATAAACTCTGCAAGCGTTTAAGTGAAACCACCTACTGCAGCTCAGTAAGTTAGACATATGCACGAACTGCCAGTCCGTTTGCAGCAGAGTCGAGACTCTTTCGAGTAGCAATGCCATGGCGGGAAACGGTTGGCCTTTGAGATGTTTATCTTCAGTCCAATTCGCCGCGAAGTTACCAGCCGATATAACATTAATTTAGCACCGGTTGCGAGCAGTGAAATCAACACTAACAACACCCCACGCACGGTTTCCCATAAGCAATTTACTGAATTTGTGCGGGGATGTTGCAGCAGCAATATTCAAGAGAGGTGCTTCCAAGTGAGACTTTTAATGCGACAACGACTTTGACCGCATCTGATAATGGCCCTTCAACCAACTGAATATCCGATCCATCCTAATGGACTTAGGAGGGGGATAAAAGAACCCGAGGTCGGGTGATCTGGCAACAAACAGTTTGTGGGTGGGTGAGTAAGTTTAAGAGATGCAAGTTGCATCAACTCAATGATTCAAAAAATGGATTGAACGAAAATCAATTCCGGACAAAGTTCCGGTTAATTTGAATCTATGGACCACACCAGGATGACTCAGCCTACTAATGTTCGCTAGTAAAAACGCTAAAGATGTAAACCCTTCGTACTGTTAGTCAATACGTGCATATTCGACGCTGCCGACCCCGAACTTTTTTAAGGCTATTATGAAAGCGTAGTCAGGAGAACGAACTACGCAACACAGACCTGACCACCCGGACATGCCTGTCCAATGAGGAGAGATTACTGCTAACTGACGGTACTGAGCGCGGAACGAAACTTGTTTCAGACATTACGCCACCAACCGATTAGCAGTCTGTACAGCGGGCTTGTTAGCTAGCCAGAAATTGTTCAGCTGTAGCACCCTTCCGGTGCCTAGCTGCCATGCCACTTAAAGGGAGCACGGGGGCTGGGACACAGCCAGGTTGCCCAAGCCTAGACAGGGGTAGAGTTCAAACTGCGAACGTTCCGGTTAGTAAATTCGCGCCCTTAACCACTTGAGCCAACTAGCCAGACATTCAGCTGTGCATCTGCTGAAGTTTCAACGAAGAACAAAGGCAAACTAGAGGGTTTGAAATGAACCAGCTGTCTTCGACGACAACTCTCGTGCATTTCGTCGGAGTGACATCGCTTTTCGAGATCCACCATGCCCAGTTGTTTCACTGTTAGTTCTCAGCAGAAACCTAGTTTGGTGAAAAAACTACGAGAGCTGATTAGACCACGAGGGTATTTATTCATCTCGCTTGGGGCACTTACAGGTATTACTGTCGAGATTTGGAGGACATTTTTTCTGGATGTTTTTTTCGCCACATCAATCGGCCTCGAACCCATGAGGAAGCAAGACCGGGGCTATCTTTCACTTTTGCAATATGCTTAATTTGGATGCAATGCACTATCTAGAAATTTATTTTCAGATATCCTTAGTCACACTTGATAAGTGTATGGATTCCTGGAGGTGGATAAACGACCCGAGGATGCGCCTTAGTCACCCAAATTCTGGTGGAACTCAAACCGCTCGACACCTCAACGACAGCGATTCTAAGCATTTCTCTACTTTCGAAGAGTTGTTAGTCCTTCAAGAAGCAAACGGTTCTTTGAATACATCACAACCTCCCTCTACACCGATGTTCCCCTGATATCCAGTGTCTCAAATATCAACTCGGAGCTTTGTGCACTCCATAAATCCGCGTTAGTTTTGGTAGAACAGGCACGATTGAAGGTGTGACCACAATCCAGTAGTCGGGGTGAAATCGGTTTCAACGTAGTTCATAGCCCTGTCAACGGTTATATGTAATCCGGGATAATGATAGAACGATCCGCATTAAATATAGATGCCCAACTTCAACCGACTACGATACAATTGGCTCCTCATAACTTGAATTTCAGTTAATTTACTCAATCGAAGGCTGTTCGACTAGCTGAAAACGTTAGCTAGTTCTGCCCACCCTAACCTGTTCACACGAGGATAATTGGCGATTTCCACCGCCCAGGTCATTAGTAACTGTGGTGTGAACTGTAATCCCTGTTTTCGAAACTTCTGCCTTTCATAGATTTACTTCATTTCCCATACCTAACGCACATTTCACCATAGATGAGAGAAGCTGCAGACATTCACATGCATTTTTTGCGGTTTCGTCACAATTATCTTGTGTCCACCGATCCCAGCGTGTTGTACCCCGGCTGCTTGTCTCATGTAGATTTCAATGTGGTCGTTGTATTCGATTTCATGGCCATTTCAACAGGGATGCGATTTTCCAGCTGGACCGATACACAGTGGAACCTCTCTCCCACACCATTAGGTTGGCGTACTCCCACCAACAAATCATAGTTCTTTGAATCTGTACGGGATCCAGTGTGCTCTATCTGCGTCTCCCGTTAAAGCCACACACACTTGTGTGAGGTTGTTCTGAATCGGAGTGGACCAGAATTACGGTGTCACGTGTTCAAGTACTCTACATCCATACTTAGGACACGTCTAGCAAAATTGGTTATTGGTGCAAATGTGATTCTCAAAAGGACACATTTCATTTGAGCAGGCTCAAGAGCAGTAAGACAAGCCCGCGGCGGATGTACTTACGTCTAATCAGGTGAAAGACGCTGAGAACCAATTGAGTAGTCATCTACCGATTGTTACCAAACTTTTCAGGAAACGATATGCTTACGTGTTCATGTTTACTGGGGGAATACAGGAGACCCGAGATTGCTCAGGATGACAAAATTTTCCTGTGGTGGAGAGGGTCCGGAAATATACGTGACTAGGAAAGTAAAATCACACGTAGCTATGGGATGATGTTCTAAGTGGTCTTGCCTTTTACAATAGCGCTTTCGCGGGCGAGAAACACCATTTCTTTAAAGGAAGCGGACCACTGTATAGATGCGTTGGAAGGAGCGTATAATTGTGTTCGACACTACATCGCCCTGTCAAAACACAAATTAAGTTTAGCGAATATACACTCATTCGCAAACTAATTTGGTTTTTCGAGAGGCGCACCTGGAACCCAGCTGAATCTCTCGGCTTTGATGTATCCAGGCAACTGAATGTACTGCACCAGGCCGCCTCATGCTTCAGTTGCCGGGGAACATCAAAACCGAGAGATTCAGCTGGGTTCCAGGTGAGTCTCTCGAAAAACCAAATTAGTTTGCAAATGAGTGTATATTCGCTAATTGCGTGCAATTTGGTTTCAATTAGAACATAAGGTTGACGAAAACTCGGGGACTGCGCCTACCTGATGAGCCCCAAACAGAGCGAAACCGGTCATGTGCTGTTCGAGGAATTTTCAACAACCTTATAATTAGTGCATTACAAATAAAGTTTGTTGATATTTACTCGTTCTCAAATCAGAGGAGTAAGAATCTCTCGGGTCCTTTCTTTGAGTACCACAGTAGTTCGAACTTAACGCGCTTTGGACGGAAATAGTAATTGTCTGGTGGCTCACACGCAGTATGTTCTTGGTCGCTGCAGTGGTGAGACAGTGGATGATGAGGCGAGGCTTAGCATAACATTCCCCCGCAGCCATGAGTATTCTAAGCATACTGAAGTATCAAATAACATTACATCACGAATACGCGAGGTTACACCCAAAATGTTTGTGATTAGCTGTAACATGTTCCAGAATCCTCGGCTTCCCGCGTGAGGCGGGCGGTAAATGTCAGAGGTAGCATGTCCGATGTAGAATCAAAAACAAGACAGATGCAGACAAATCCAATAGACCAGCGCACTCTTTTACGAGTTCATCCATGCAACAAACTGAATGTCAATCCGTCAGTGCATGTCATCACTTCTAGCAGCAGAACTTCCCAAGCGCGCACCTACATTCACCAGCCCAGAAGAGGAAGTCATACACGCATCCATGACCCACCTCATACTGATCAGAAGAAAACACAGCCTTTGAGATTCCATAAACTGAACAACAATCGTTCTGAGACAACCATTCTCTCTAACTGAGCTGAAAACTGATGTGAGGAGCGATATACGATTGCGCTAACCACTAAAAAAACTGATGTAGAATGGAGCCACATGCAGTAGACCTTAGGAGGGAGTCTTGAACTTCCTTTCGCGGCGAAACACTGCAAATAAGGGCCGATACGTCATTGGACATTGAAAAGTAGCCTCCTTTGGAAGGATTACCGTAAAGCGAGTGATATCACGGCACTAACGTAACCTAACACTTGGCCTGATCCAAGAATTGTCACAAACTATCCGGTCCTGTCAGCAAAGACAGGTCCTATTGGCCGATCAACCAGAGTTACGCGGAACAAGCAAAGGTAGCACACACACAACAAGTGACATACACCGCGCTTTCACTCGAACCGATCAGCGACAGTGTGTTCCTCGGTATAGAACGCCACGCTAGCAACAGACACTGACACATGTATAGAAACAAGTGAGGATAGAGACAACAAGCACGCCGGACTTGGGTAAGCCAACAGCAACGACTTCTCAGGTAAAATGCAGTGCCACTCTACACATCCCACAGACATGCATGATAGACAGTCACAAAAAGTGAGACAATCGTACATGAGAATGAATGAGAATGAACAGAAATGGTAGGAGGATAAGGAGATGAAGTTGAAAATCCCAGGCGAGCAGCAGCATCAGCACATACACGCCGTACTACTGATCACAATAACCATACACGCTTAATCTGTGCAATAAGGATTCCAAATACAGCTGTCATCGTCGGTGAAGGCGCACCATCTTCCTGCTCCTCAACGGGGCTGAAAAGGAATGTGGAGAAATAAGGATTGCGTCAGGATGAGAACAAAGGATGTTCGACACGTTGTACACAAACTTGTGTTTTCATCAAATGCAGCCCTATATCCCGCATACGACGAATGCAAACACTACTCTGTTCACACTCAGGAGAATGAAAGAGGTACGCACTAAAACTGTCCCATTCGGGCTGTGAATCAACTGATCGGCCTTTTAAGGGGTGTTTGAACAAGCATCAAAACACGACTAGAATAAGGTAAGGGATCACAAGTGAGGCTACTGAAGAGACAGGAGTGGACCCGTAGGTAACTATGCAGATGGCCCCAATGGCTAGGGCGAGTTTACTGGTCGAAAGGTCAGTGGTTCGAACCCGACCTTTGAATCTCGACCTTCCCTGTCTAGACTTGGGCAACCTGGCAGTATCCCAGCCCTCATACTTCCTTCGGTTGGCATGACAGCCAGGCACTGAAAAGGCGTCACAGTTGGATGATTAGACTGGGATAAACGGTGTCAATGAAGGTTATGACGAAACGCGCTAATATACTTTGTATGTGGATTCTTTTTCTTTCCTAGTCACAGATGCCAACTATGGTCCCCTGCGAGAAAGACAAGAAAACGCTTTCAAAAAACGAGCATATCCCAAATCGAGAGGATCTAAAGACTCTTAAGCACCCCGCAAAGTTCTACAAACCCATAGAAGAAACAGCCCTGTAGGATGCCACCGCTTGGAGGGGGATATTTTGGCAAGCTTCGAATAAACTCCTGCAAGTCTCGGAGTACATACAACGCATGATTTTCACTTCTGAGGTATGTTACGGTGTTTTTAGAACAGCCGGTTACACAGCCTGGAAATCAACAAACCAGTATTGTGTCCCGTTCTTGATCGCCAGAATCCCACTTCTTGTTCTCAGGTTACATACTCTGCTGACAGCAGGAACTGAAACCAACGACAAACTCTGTCGTTGGCGAGTGGAAAGGGGGGATTCGTCAGGTCAAACAGCTGATTTGCCAAACCTCTGTCTAATGAGTTAATGGTGGACATTTGTCAGTGGCGTCAGTGAATGTAATGTGACTTCTGCAGTCCGCCGGATGTCCTGGAATTATGATAGCAAACCCTAAGGACCGCATGGACAAGAAGAACATCTGCGAGACGTAGTATATCCATGGTAAGATACAATGCTTAATCTTCGGAAGTGAATATATGTAAACAGAACCAGTTGAGAATTCCCTGCCTTGTAATGTTTTAATATGGGCCCTTCGGGACAACCGTTCCCAGAAAGTTGTTCACGGCAATAGGTTCAAATATTGGTTGACAACGGCTTTTGAAATCAGAGGGAGCTTCAACACATAGATAGACATCTTGGTTGATGTGAATCCTCATCATGGGCGACTATCAACAGAGGCCCAATAATATTCTCGTCCTACATGAGAATACGATGCCATGGAATGTGGTGTCCAAGAAAGACTAGCAAATCGCTCAGCCGGAACATCCTTCCGGAGCCTAGCTGTCATACCACCCGAAAGAAGCACGAGAGCTGAGATATTGTCCGGTTGCTCGAGTGTAGACATGGAGAGTCGAGATGTAGAGGTCGCGTTCAAACCACGAACGTTCCGGTCAGTAAATTCGCACTCCAACCATTGGAGCCATCTCATCCCGAGAGTAGCGAATTCCGGACAATGTTTTATGATTTATGTAGAAACAGGTGGTGAAATACCTGGCGAGATTACGTGATAATGCACTTTAGATATCATTATTCAACCTGTAGGTTCGCTTTAGAGTGTCCTATGAGGTGGACAAGAGGGAGGAACGAAGACTTAACGCGCCAGAATTGTCCACCGGGCCAACACGGCAGTACTGGTCAAACCAAAAGCTGCTTCTGGCTCCCCTCTGCGAACAGCAATAGTATCGAAAAATTTCAAGTCTGGTGTATTTATGCTTGCCATAATTGCATGGCTCCTCATTCGGACAGTGGCGAACAGTAACTTCGACTGAGGACAGGAGAACACGCTCTGGCGGGGGCACGAAGACAACTGTATCAATTAGAGACGCCAAAGAGACAAGTGAACCTCATCTGCATCTGACGTTGTGAGCTCGCATTCGCCGAGAACTAATGCTACATGCGAAAAGAAACTAGGACTGTAAAAGCAGAAACAATCCTTCGTTTCGCTGAGACTAGTGTGGTACTTTCGCCTTTGCGTTTTTTTTTTAACTATTTGGAAGGCTGCTGTACACGTTAATGAGGCACAATCTAATAAACTCCGAATAACGTCAAAAAAGGCGCAGCGTACTGCGTTTCCCAAAATTCGCACATGATGTTCGTGAAGGATACTAAAATCTGCTAATCAGAAACAAGTGTCTTCCGAGGTCGATCAATTTGCATTGGTCCCACAACTCACCGCACGCGTTCCTTGAGTGGACTGCAATCCAACTACCAAGCTCGCTGAACAGACAAACGACCAGGGAATGTATCCAGGCTACCTATATTCCATATCACGACAGAGCAATGGGAGAACATGCACTAGACGAGGGACGGAAACTCGATTCACAAAACACTGAAGTTCTGAGGCCGGAACTACGATTCACACCACAGCGACCGATTGTCGAGGTAGCAGGAGTGACCAAGACTCCCAGTGTGCAAATGACACCCAAGTAGGACCTGAACCGGAAGATCAACCACGTAAACCCGATAAAATGGTTTTAAATCGCCCAACTCATCGGATGGGAAGCTTAGACACCCGTACCTGCCAATAAGCCCCTTAAACCAATATTTTACAGCAATCTAGTGTGCTGGTCGAAAGGAATCTTGGTTCACCGTCTGCCTTAAAATTCGGCCAACCTAGTGATGAAGCTTTGAGGCCAAAAGCGAAATGTTGCCCAGCTGTGTATCCACCAAGTGTTTATCAAACCTTTCTGAAAGTGCTATTTAGTTCAACTCTACCAGCACTACCCATACGTTAGAGTGGATAAGCTTCACGCGGACATACGTTACAGTACACCGTCAAAGTTAATTTACTGCAAAGTCACAGTGTATATAAAGAGCGGCGTCCCAATGAATGGCGCACGTTTGCCAATACAGCAAGTACCAAAAAATAAAAAATCGTTCAGCTGTAGCACCCTTTCGGTGCTTAACTGCCATGCCAACAGAAGGAAGTACGAAGGCTGGGATACTGCCAGGTTAGCCAAGCCTAGACAGGGGAAGTCGAGAGATAGAGGTCGGGTTCGAAACACAAACCTTCCGGTCAGTAAATTCGCGCTCTAACTACTTGGACCATCTCGCCCCCACAGCAAGTACCAAGCACTGGGTATACTAATTCAACTAACTTCTCTCCACCAAACAGATCCCAATGCACATAGACTTACCCCTGAATTTGTAAATGATGACTGACCCTTGGACACTCCGGCTGCGGCACTCACGATTGCAGCAACAACATTGGGATTGTTCAAAATGTTTAAAGCGGCCAGCGCGGCGTTGGTGTTGGCGTCAGGACTAGGTTTCGCATCAGGATAACCACCGTTCATGTTGGCACCGGAACTCTGTCGCTGAAAGTAGACAATGTGCAAGTAACTGTTTAGAAAACCGAACAATGGAATTTGTGAGACAAAAGGTGCTGGCGGTTGCAAACCTTATACAGGCAGAGTAGGTGTGCACACGGAGAGCACAGATAGAATCAGTCCGTTTACGGACATCATCGTATTTTGGAACATTGAAGTGATTCCTTGCAAAATGAAAGCGGACACCAGAATCCTACGGTAGTAAAGGGTTGAAGGAACCTCAGTACTTCGATAAAAAAGTATGAACTTTGGGTAGAAGGCTCTTTCGTTTTGGCAGAATGACTGCACCACACTATCGATTGTGCTAAAGGCACACTTGCCGTTCTTCAACTGTGAGTTGTTCCAAAAGGTTGTTCTATTACAACCCTCGTCACTCGCCGCCTAAATTAGGTTCCCTGCTTCACATTCTTAGTGTGTATTGTGCTGCCTACGTCTGCGGTTCTAGTCGCATGAGTGGAGGATAACGCCTGTAACATCACTGTTGAAAAGCTGTCATTTTCATTTCTGTTCCGACTACTATTAAATGATGTAATTTACGCCCGTTTATTGTAACGCCGCTCGTTTCCTCTGGCTTCGTTCCTATTTAAGGCCCGCCTATTCCCCAGTCCCAGCCCGGTGGAGGCTTACCAAGAATCGGGTGAATGTCGAATGGCAAACTAACCAGAATGACAATCAGGTACCCATAGGCTAATCGTAAGGTAACGAATGTTAGTTAGAAATTTGCTGGTTCAAATAACCAATGAAACGGAGTGTGTGGTGCTCAGCATTCGTAACAAAGGTGAAAAGCCTGTGCAGCAGCTCCAGTTTGCGCCCTGGTGTGCGACTTGAAGCTGGTTGTACTTCCTCCTTACCTTTTAGCGCAGGCTGAATGCCACCTGTACGACAGTGATGCATTAGCGTCAGCACTGGTGTGTCCCTGTCTTTGATGCAGGATAAAACCTAGAATGGAACATTTGCACTCTCTTCACTGTATACAAGATAAAGACCACCATGCTCCGATTACCCAGGCTATTTCAACCTGGGATGCTATGCATGACTTCATGAGCGATAGCATTTTGTCCGGTGTCACTGCTACATTCAGATGCATTAAAATCCACGAAGACACGTCCCATCACTACACTCGCTACGGAGTCCGCCTAACTGGATCAATTGTTTTCGACCAGCCATGCCAGCTGTTGGCGTGAAAAAAAATTGTTCAGTGGATAAGACAGGGTTACAAACGCACCTGGTGAGCACGGGTGTATTGTGCGGCTAGGGTGGCTGCCGCGGCCGCTGCCGCTGGATTCAATCCCATCGAATTGCGCAGACCACCGTTTGGTGAGCCCCCGTAAGCACCACCGCCTGGGAACATACCAAGTGCTGGAGACCATGCTAGAAAGCGGAGGAAATAAGTGAACCACTAAAGGCTGACAACAAAACTGAAGAGCACAGTATGTGCAATATATTGAACTCAGTTTAGAAAAAGACGGTTCGCGCCTATTTTGGGTTGTTGTGCTGCCGCAGATTAATGTTCCACTCAAGCGTTTGCACTTTATTTATCTATCTATTTCCACAATGAGATTTCCATGTATATTAAGCGAAGCGTTAGCACAAACCTAATCGGCTTTCGTCACTTCCTTCACACCTGTTCGATTAGGGTTAGAACATCCTTCGAAGCAACTTCTCAACGAACTTGCTAGTTATTTTGTTGTAGTGCACACAGAACCGTTAGAGATTGGAGCTTTAACTCACTGACTCGAAGGTCTGTGGTTCAAACCCGACCTCTGCATCTCCACTTCCCCCGTGTAGGTTGGGGCAACCTGGCAGTATCCTAGCCCTCGTGCTTTCTTCTGGTGGCATGGCAGCTAGGCACTGGAAGGATGTTACAGCTGAACGATTTGTTCATTTTATTACCGCTGTTAAATACACGAAATAAATAAAATAATCGTTCAGCTGTAGTACCCATTTGATGTCTAACTGTCACGCCACCCGAAGGAAGGACGAGGGATAGGATACTGCCAGGTTGTCTAAGCCTCGACAGGGGAAGTCTAGAGGCGGAGATCGGGTTTGAACCACGTACCTTCCGGCCAGCAAATTCGCGCTCTTACCACTGAGCCATCTCACCCCCGGATTCTCTTACTAAGCACCACTGAAGCTGGAATGAATCCATGCCTGTGCTTGACAATCAGATATCTAGAAAACTAATGATACCCTCAACGAAGCAGTGTGTAATGAGGCCCTCCGTTTTGAAAGATCTTTCCTTCTAGTTGCTCGTCACAGAAAAACGAAGGATTGACCTCAAGGCGTGCTAATCCAGAAACAGACCGTGATTCTTCGTTTGGTTTAACTATACAACTACGCGAATGGGTCCTCAAACGAGGAGAATACAATTTGTGATTTCGGCTACCGTGAGTGCTATCCTCCTTTGTCACACTCGAGTATGCACAGGATAATTTAAAGTCCTTCTGTTTCAAGCGGGAAGGACCTCGAAGCACATGCCAGACATTCCAGACTTTTATATGCGAATCGGAGAGAGGCTGTTTCGTGGTTGAAGTTCTTGTTAGGACCCACAGCAATGGTTCACATCTATTCGGAAATGCCGCACAGCTTACGGTAGCCCCCTACTTTTCTGACCCTACTTGGAGGCAGTGGTCAATAAATAACAATAAATTAGTAACCAACATGTTCGGCTCACCAGACTTGATTCCTATGCTTCCAATGCTTACTGCGGAACCCCTTGAACATCAAAGGAACACCTAGTCTAAGCATCACTGTCCGATTTCGTGCACTTGGGCTGTCTATCCCCTTGCTGTTCGCAAAAGATGTCAATTCGCGTACAGTTCGCGAGCGTAACTGCTAGGGGAACGGATAGCCCGATCATATATCAGTAATGAAATTTGTTGAAAGAGGGACTGCTCGGAATTGTCAAAAATTTAGGTGGCTGTATGAAAGTGATATACCAGCGCCATAGATTTTAACAGGCGTCCTCATTGAAGGCGTGACCGCTTCGGACGGCGATAACCACACCTCATCCAAAAACACAGAACTTTCGCTTTTTCAGACTGACCTTTCGCTTGCTTTATCAATCTCGTCACACCAGTTGGTACGACACATTGACCTTTGACCTTTGGGACGATTTTTCTGTGGCGTGTAAGTTCGGTTAGCAGCCGACAAGAATACTCTTGGGTTCATCGCATGGATCTAGCATCCAGGGGCTCAGTTAGTATCAACGTAACTTCAGGGATTTAGACTTTAGCGCTAAAAGGTGCCGATTGCTCAGATTCACTTTGCAACATATTAATTTGTTGCCAAGCGGTAAGGTGGCAGCATATTTGAAAGTGAAAATGAAACAACCGATTGGGGCATAAGGCCGAGTTGCCAACAAATTCACATGTTGCATTGTTCTGTATGGTACAAACGGGCCTTCAGTGAAGCGGGAGTGTACGGCGCACGACGAAATGATGGCACGAACGATCAGTCGACCTCTACGTACAAATCCGCGGTTGACAGCGTGTGTCCCTTACGATGGCTAGGTCCCATGAAAAAAGAAAGAAAGCGTTCAGCTGTAGCACCCTTTCGGTGCCTAGCTGCCATGCCACACGAAGGAAGCACGAGGGCTGGGATGCTGCCAGGTTGCCCAAGTCTAGACAGGGGAAGTCGAGTGACGGAGGTCGGATTCGAACCACGGACCTTCCGGTCAGTAAATTCGCGCTCTAACCACTTGGGCCATCTCGCCCATGCTACCCGAAGGAATCACGATGGTTGAGATACTACCAGGTTGCCCAAGTTTTGACAGAACCTCGGACCACGGACGTTCCAGTCAGTTAATTCGCGTCTTAACCATTGAGCTATCTGGACTGTGTAAATTAGCTGGAGGATAGCATACACATTTGCTTTACATCCCAAGTGCATTTTTACCAAAGACTAAATTGTGAGGCGTTCATCGGACCAGATTGAGGTGAAAACATTTATACATCTACTTACGACTGTTCCATAGAGGCCCATGTGCCATTGGACTGCCAGGATAAGGAGAACGCAAATTCCCCCCTGCGTTTTCGAATGCGGGGTTTTGACGAACATGGGAAGGCAGTTTGGGAACGGCCGAACCTATGGTCACTTTGTGACCCTGGATTGTCAAATCTTTGCCCAGCAAGGAAGCAGCAACATCGGGATCATCGAACGTCACGAAGGCAAACGAGCGGAACGGTTTAGGGATGAATACGTCAATAACCTGGAAAGAAATCAATACAGAGACCGATAGGCACATTTCCGAATAGATAAGAGCGGGTTGGATCTACACAAATTACACGTTGGGTGCGTAGCATCATCATCAGAATCATCCTCGATAGCATAGGGATGAAGCTGACTACTACAGGCAGTAGTAATCATACCGAATGGTCGATTGAAACACAGTAAACCTCTTCTAGAGTGAGAAACCAGTCGGATGCAGAGCCACTTGTCGGCACGAGGCCAGAACGAGACGAACTTGACGAAAAAAGTCAATTGTAGCAATTTTTGGGAACGACGTTGATAAACGTGTTTCTAAACTTTGCTGAACACATCTGTCACGATAGTGGTGGCGTAAGAGAGCCCTGTATGATCGAATACGGGACACTACCTAGTCCATGAACACAACAGGGATGTTATAAGAACCACAGGATTTATCACTGGATGGTGAACGAAACAAACACAACGCAGTAGGGAGGTGGCATACAAAACGCGACGAGGAAGGAAGGTGAGTGGTGAATAGTGTAGAGCAGAATGAAATTAATCGAGGTGCCTGGTGGGTGCGTCCGAGGAAGCACAGAGAAAAGCGCGCGAGCTGGTAAACATGGCACTAGGATTCATCCATTACGGCTGAAATATAAGATGTGGTCAAGTAGTGCTACAGTTCAGAGTCACTAGCGTTGACTGAACCATACTGCTACCACCGATTTTACCTTTCCTACAAATGTGTAGAAGTATGTCTGTCCAAAAACGAATTTCCTCCAGATGGAGTACTGAAATTTATGCACGCGAGACCATCTACCCCGGGGCATCAGATCAAGATCAGCTCGAGTACTGTGGTCGTTACCAACTTGGAGGAACCGTCTGGATTACTGATCAACTGACTTACTAGCGGACATAAACAGGATGTCACGTGTGCGAAACTCTATCACATGGTTGTTACATGCTAATCAAGAGGTATAAGGCTAGGGTTCGGGATGTTGGAAATAAGAACGACTCGACTGATGACTGCCTTGCAAATACATCTGCACACTGAACCAAAAACCAGGTCAGTTCGTGACAGTAAGGGCGCAGTGCTAGGTGATTCTGATTAGCACTAATTGACCATCCTTGATGTTTCAGAGATGGGGTTTACATTCCATTTGTTTCAGACTCTTCGTTTAGGTAAGCACTAACGAAAGGCAAAAGAGTGATCGAGTATCTGTGGTAGCACTGATCACTGCTATGAATTTATTGATCTTGACACTGTAAACCTTGACTGAAACATTCACTGTTCGTGTGATGCACCGTGAACCTTCAGCTAATCAATAATCTAGTCGACCTTGATGAATCAATGATCATTAGAATATTTCAATGATATGTACCAGCCTTAAATTGCTTATCGGTGTCAAAAGGGTAGGCCTGTATCTTCTGAATCCCAAATTGGGTTCAGGTTGGTACTTAAACGGAGACTGGAAACCGAGAACTTCGTCTTCCAAGCCCTAAGGGAGACAGTCAAAGAGAAACACTGAACTGCACTCACTAAACGATCAGGATAACATTCACACAAGGAACTTGTTTCCACGATTTGGCTGGAAACGGTACGCTAAGCCCAGTTGAAGAAACGCCCTGGACCATTCAGTCAATAATCGGGTAGAACTAAAAGTGGACATCGCTGTTTAATCGCCATACGGTCAAAGATCAGATCTAAGGTTGCTAAGTTGAGGCGGGTCGCAAGCTAGCAACACACCCACTATTTGGGTACCTCTCGACTTCCCCTGTCTAGGCTTGGGCAACCTGGCAGTATCCCAGCCCTCGTGCCTCCTTCGTGTGGCATGGCAGCTAGGCACCGAAAGGGTGCTACAGATGAATAAATGATGAAATGAATGATGATGTGCATAAAATCATTAATAACGAAGGACATTTAGTACAAAGCGATAATTCGATCGTCACCATCGAGCGCACTGACAGAGAAAAACAGCCCAGAAACCGTTAATTGGTGGTGTTGAGAAATCGGTCTTTTCCCTCAGACTGAAGAGCCGAGGCATTAGACTCTCTCAAAAATACGATACCACCGTAAAAACGAAAAGTAAAGTTGCAGGAAACAGAATGGTCTTCAGATACCCTTAGATTAGACTTCACTTCTACCAATATAGAGGACACGCCGCGAGTCCTTACAGACGTGCGGCGACACAGTGGAGCTAGTACGTTCGATGGAGCGAATGTGTTTTAGTTTCTGGTGGCTTCGTACGGCCATCAAATGGTGCCTGTAGGTTTTCCGTTACGGTATCTATCAGTGACGTGCAAGCACCATGGGCTCATTTAAGTTGAGACTAACTAGCGGTCCGACAGCTGTCGATGATAGACCATTGGTCACTCAATTGTTCAAAGCAGAAGGTTCAGTGGTTAGAGCGCGGAAGGTTCGTGGTTCGAACCCGACCTCTGCATCTCGACTTTTCTTGTCTAGACTTGGGCAACCTGACAGTATCCCAGCTCTCGTGCTTCCTTCGGGTGACATGGCATCTAGGCACCGTAGCGGTGTTACAGCTGAATGATATTATTTTTCAAAGCAGGTGCCCAAGGTCTATGTTTGTCAGGAGGCCGGTCGTCCCAATAACCGAGCATCACATCATTTGGACGGATGTGTCACGTGCAGGACACAGACCAAACGAAGGCATGTACTGACTGGTTAGAATGCCAGACAATCAGGATCGAGCATCTTGGACTCGACGCTTCTCGCCCCCTCACGGAGATTCTCGCACGACCTTGTGCAACACCGTGATTAATAATAATTTTCCTTTGTCTCCATGAGGAGCTGTATAGAGCTACCGTGCCTCTTGATACACCATAGCGGGCGGAGCAGGAAGCCAAGGGACCGATACAGAGTTGCACTACCGTTCAGCAAGATACAACAATGTTAGAGTAAACGCTTACTGATAAAATTATCTACCGTAAATTCCAATATGAATATACTTCACTTAAGACGAAGATATGAACTTCAGGCAACTATGACGAGGATGAACAGGTTCTCTTGTGGATGCCCTAACACAGGGGCTATGGATCATGGTTTTGTGGTCAAGCTACGTTTGTTAGGATTAGCTAAGGTTAGCCAACAAAAAAACACTTGCAGTCAAGTCGGATGAGGTCCTATCCACCACGAGTTAGAATACACTCGCCCCATCGAACGTTGCCTCCAATAGGAATCCGTGTACATAACACGTGAGAGGTGATTAGCATCCGGTTGGTGCTCCGTACACAAGCGAGTAAACATACACTTATGCACAGTTCCCTCGGATTTCAGCTACTGACGGGCGTCGCTCGTCAGTTTGACAATCCAGCAGAATTGGGCTGTCGCTTTGATGGACCACTTACATCAGATAAACAAGGACACATTAAGGCCCTGATGTACGCAAGAATGATGATAAACCGGGAAATTAGACAGTGACCAAATTTTTGTCCACCGGATGAACGTTTAAAGAAAAAAAAACTAGAAAATGGATGCGATAGGATTATAAAGCTTTCAGGTTTCCTGAAAAAGTCTGCAGAGGTAAACAAACCGTTAAACAAATATAAGGTCTAGTGTCTCCGTCCCAACTTTCGGGTGGCGTGGACAGGGATAGAGACCTGATAAAAAGAAATTGCGATGGTTCCACGATGTTGCCACTTTTGTTTTTAGGCAGCAAGCACAACGCAGCAACTGCAGATAGCGCGGTGCCGTATGAATTTGTTTACACTCATGGCCCAAAGTTGCAAACGATCCGAACAGATGCTAGGACGCCTCAATCAAGACAGATATTTGCTGCTAGAGCTTTTGGACCAACGAACTAATCGCAAATCATAGTTACCTAGCGCGAGAACTAAAGGCCGGAGGGACAGTTCCCCGGAGTTCTGCGAAGAAAGCACATCATCCAGTCAAGTCCAAGAGTACATAGGTCTAACATACGTACAGCGTCAGTTCAACGCGATTCAAAGATTATCTGGAGAAAAAATGAATGAACTTACGAGTCCATACTGGAGAAAATGCTGACGAAGAGCATCCGCGCCAATGCTCTCTGGAAGATTGCCAACGTGTATCTTTCGACTGACTTCTTGTCGGTCTCCTTCTTGCTGAAAACAAATCGCGCAAATGAATTGTGCATCCGCGGTCAAAAGAACATTTTGAGCGAACTAAGTTGGAGTAAGTGAACAGTTGCATTTGCCTACTGGATGAGTGGGGTGAGCATGAATGAAATCGGTTTCTATTCTTCTTCAGAACCAAGATTATGAAACGGTAAGTCCAAGTACGCGTAGCGTGAACGAAACTAACCGCTTGAGGATGTGGTCTGATGGCGACCTCCCGCACACCGGATGGGTATTCTACCGACTGAGCTACTAGTAGCTACGACTTGGACTTGGATTTTAACGTCTGCCAAATCTCCTACTTTCTAACAGCACAAGCCAACGAAACAAGATTGGGGTAGAAAAAACTTATACAGGAAGAGTATCTATCTCACTAGAAATGTGAATAATATGTCTCGCTATCGTGGTAGTAAACATGGCAGTAAACAAGACCAGTAGGACAGTCTATGACTAACCTTGGACAGTGGTATGCGAACATCACACAATCGGCCATCAATCATGTGGCGTTCAGCCAGACACATGGCTTGACCACTGTAGTCACTGAAACGGACGAATCCGTATCCACGACTCTTACCGGTGTCCGGATCCTTTTTTATCTACAATGTGGAAATAGGAGGGAAACCTTCAAAAGCACCGGCACATCCCACTAGTCGGTTCCACCGAAACAGTGTAAAAAGCATAAAAAGCACTGACAGTACTCGTGCTTTCGCATATATGCCATAGGAACCTAGGACTTTCTGAGGAACTGAACAGGATGTACAGGATGGGGGGGGGGGCATAGACAAAACTAGTCACGGAGAATGATTGTAACCAGATGCTTATGAAGCGGTATTGTGTCGCAAAAAGCGAACCACATGATGGTTTTCATCCAAATCTGGACTCATCAAATTGGCGCAGATGGACCCTTCGCATGACATTTTGGATGAAAGCACAAGTGTCACGTGACACGATGCTCGTTTGATCTCCTTGTTCACACCAATTCGCATGTAAGTGGGTTCAATAAAGAGAAGAGTTCTGACTACATATGTCTGACGAGGCCCAAAACAGAGTGTAACTGGCATAGCTGTCTACAGGGAAAAGTACTTCGATAAATTGACTACTGGCTTGACTGAACCTTGAGGCAAACTTGAATTGCACCCTAGGTTGAAGAAAGCCATAAGCGCGAGAATCGTCTGGAACTCGTCCCAATCTCCTGTTTCCATCACTTTGATACCCAAACGAGTTTTTTTAAGCCACTCAGTCTTCCCCTATTCTGCGAGAATGACACAATCGAAGTTGAGAATAAGTGACAACAAGGCCCTCAAAAGGAAGAGCAACTTATTCTAAAAACCTCGTTCAAAATTAATTGCAACGGAAAACGTCTGGACTGCTCTTTCTCTTAACGACTATCAAATAAAAGAACACGAGGGGCGAGGTAGCTCAGTGGTTAGAGCGCGAATTTATTGACCGGAAGGTCTGCGGTTCGAACCCGACCACTGCCGCTTCACTTCCGCCGTCTAGGCTTGGGCAACCGGGCAGTATCGCAGCCCTCGCCTTATGGTGGCATGACGGTTAAGCACCGAAAGAGTGCTACAACTGAACAATGTTTTATTTTTCTAGAAATAACACGACAGATTCGTGTTGGAGTCAAACCTATCACCAGATTTGATTGTGAAATGTTGCGGACTTCATACTCATTGCCTTGTTGGAGAGATGGCATTCAGTCTCATAGCGATGATTGTCTGCAGCTGCTTACTAGTTGGCCTTCAACATCAGGATGACATTTGTGTTCGCCTCGCCGCCTTTTCCAGTGCGAAAAGTTACACCACTCGCATCATCATCGTCATCATCAACACTGATAGCAATACCAGATGAGAACACTGGTGGTTCGCAACTGTGATTCATGGCTGCACGTGGGCCAAGACACTACCAGGGTGCCCATACCGAGACAGGACGACGATTAGGGTTCTCAACCAGAGCCTTTGGCTCAAAAACTTAACTGCAAGACACCCTACATATCTAAGGAGCAAGTCGCCACACATGTTCTGTCTCCCAGCCCAGAGGACCAGGAAGCTGTGTTAGTCAAGCCTCTATCCATTGACTTACACGGTGAGGCTATTTGAGTTTTGCACTACCCAATATACCTCATTGCTGCACAAACCGTCACAGTGTGGTACAGTGATGGTACACCACTCCACAAAGCTGAACAGCTAACTTCGTTTGAATCATTCAGCCATTTGTACCCGTATGCAACCTGTCTACTGCACGCATGGAAGATCCTCAAAAGCGGCTAAGACTCGAATTTCAGTTATTGCTGAAGATATTGATCATCCGGTTGTTTAACACACCCGTCTGTCCTGAGAAGCGTCACATCCAGCTGGTGCAAGTAGGCAGGTTGACCTTCCATCCCGTACGGGACCCTGACCCAGTGACAAAAAACTACCTTGCAATTTCGCTGACTGTTGTTCCCGAAGTTTTCTGTCGGCTGATCGTTATGTCCAGGCACTGACCAGCATACCCGAAAATGAACATATGTTCAGGCTGAGGGGTATTGTAAAACAGCGTGTCAGTAACGCATTGCTTCCACTGAGGAATCCTCATGGGATCATATGTGACACCGATTAAAAACCCAGCTGGATATCTCGCTTATGATGTTTTACAGCTGAACATGTGTTTCCATCTGGCCTTGGGTAGGTTGGGATGATGTTCAAGGTTTCGAATTAGTTTTCCTCGGTTTATACACGGTTGCGGAACGCAAGAAGATAGCTCACTAAGGGCTTCACTCTGTTTGGAACTTATTTTCAGAACACGCTTCATTTTCTTGCACCAGGTCATACCTTAATCGTCTGCTGCTATTCTGAATTCGTTTTTACTAGAGAATAATTCGGCAAGCATGCCAAAGTTTATGGAGTTGGACGCGATACTGAAGTAAAGCACATCGTGAGTAGGCAATTTTCATATCATTCTAACTCCTCTAAAAATGTCACCTGTGGACCAAGAAGCATTTGAGATATATGAGCTCTGGATCAGCGAAAAAACACTTCACTTTGGAACAGAATATCAGGAAGTACGCCGACTGGCATGAAAACTTTTGGTGCCAATACTTTGTACGTTACAGAAAAGTCCCATAATCTGAAAAGGTATGGGTTTTTTTGTATGGTACGCCCTGAAGATTGTCTGTCCTTAAGTGTCGTTCCCTTCCTATTGCGAACAGAACATTGTTTTTCCTGGCTGTTTGAAAGCCATACTAAACGACGCGCCGGTGCGATGGCCTAGTACAATCCGTGTACGGCGACCTATGCATTCATATCTCCGCATATAAAAAAGTATACACTTTCGGACCTGCCTGTCATGCTTCCTCAAGCACGACAGGCAGGGACACTAGTGTTTTTTGTCCTTTAGTGCGTACAAACCCGGAAGAGTAGGACCAGGAGGCGTATTGAACGATAGGTTTAGCGCATAGCCCATGACTGTCAAATCACATGGGAGACAATCCAACAGTAAATTCCAAAGTATGTGAAGGGTGAGTCATACTCAGAGTACACTCAGGGCTGAAATCAGTCAGTGTGCAGTTTATGAATGTTGGTGGCTTAGTTCTACCTCTAGCACAACCGGTGGCTCAGCACGCCGGAAAATCCAGTGTGCGGGTAAATGCAGTTCAGGACATAATCACTGAAAGGTTGAAACGGCTAGGTTTTGTCAACAGACAACTCTGCAAACAGGTGGTTTCTGAACCACAAAGTCGTTCAGCTGTAGCACTCTTTCGGTGCCCAACTGACAAGCTACCAGAAGGAAACACGAGGGCTCAGATACTGCCAGGTAGCCCAATTCTAGACAGGGGAAGTCAAGAGACAGAGGTCGGGTTCGACCCACAGACCTTCGGTTAGTAAATTCGCAGTCTAACCACTTCAGCCATCTCACCACAAAGTATAACTAGCTAAGCAGGATTTTCATATTGCGACGTAAATCTAGTGAATAAGATACAGACGTGTACCCCAAAAAGGTGGTCACAAACGAACCAAACGTATGCAGATGACAAGTGGACATTCGAAACATCATCACTTTCACGGTACAGCTGTCATGCAAACCGAAAGCCAGCCTGTACAGACATGAAAGCCGTGGGGATTAAACGAGGGACTTGCAGATCTGTAGTCATGCGTTGGTCCTTGAGTTACCTCGAGCGCACCCTTACTAAACAGAACAGTTGAGAAGTGACTGAGGCACTTTGGTTCCTATAAGTGCCAGACACACCAGCAAGCACGGACTCTCAGTGGGATCAGGTAACCACCAGTCTACAACTTTGGCAACGATCCCCATAGTTAATCCTAAGCATCCATTCAGAGCTGGCCTTTCAGTATTTATCAAAGGTCATGAAAGATATACAAGCAGTAGAGGGGCAAAACTTACCTGAACCATAACTAGATCTCCGAACTGAGAGAAATAATTGCGCAGCTTTGTCTCGTCGGTTTGCCAGGCCAGATTCAAGACGATCAAATCTGTGCACTTGCGCCCTTCCAGACATTTCACCTTCTGCTTCGTATCTTCAGTATCCTCGTCACCTTTACGTTTTTTGTCTGAGAAAATATTGAGAAATGTTCGAATATAAATACGCAGGAAACGAATACATGGATTGCCTCCGAAAGACCCCAATTAAGTGTAACACTCCTTTTCTGCAAAGTTCTCTCTTCGGAAGAATAAACGTGAACATGCGGAGACAGTAAATGCATTAATACAATAACTTCTCAATAAATAGTAAACACGAAAAGCCTGGCAGTTAGTGTTTACCACAGGTTAATTGTTGGCTATGGCGATGATGAAAATGAACAAGTAGAGAAACCAGGAACGCTCAGTGTCTCTGCGACAGAAGTCTTGTAGATATCCCTAGGACATATCCCAACCTTATTCAATGCAACTGTGCCAGGTCTACCTCGCGTAAAGTTACAATGAAGAGATCTACTCCTGACAACCGTCTGATATGGTTGTCAAGCAGGCTACGTTGTAACGCTAAGCTCAGAAGTGCGCTTAATAAATTTTGTCTCCCACAAACCTGAAGTGCGTAGCGCTAAGCACTACTACGCTCCACAATAACGCGCTGATGATGTCACCTCGATTGGTGATAAAACGTTTGCAATCACATTGCCTAGCTCAGCGAACAAGCCAACGATCACAATCTACGCTACCTGAGCTACCGACATATAATTATATATATATGTATATATAATGACGGACCCATCCTACATGACCTTAAAAAGATGTATTGTTAAATTGGTTTCAGCATGACGCAGGCAGAAAAAGGGTTTGAGGATTCTTGAGGCCATATAAATTAATCGTTTAAAGTTTGTCTTCTGCGCAACTGCGGTTCTGAGACTGACCTGGTTTGCTTGGTCATTTAGTTTTAAATTTAAGTGAATACATTTAAATGAATGCATTGTATAGTGTATCTTGCGCTTTTTTGCCCATTCTGCGGCTGAAAAAGTGTAGGAAATGAATTTATTCGGTAACCCTGCTGTTTTAGCTGCCTTGCTCACACTGTTCGAAAGATCACAAATCGTACTACAAACTACTTTTATCTCTAGGTCTATGGCTTATTTGGATGGTTCTAGCTAGTTTCTTTCGGCTTTTTTTGAAGCAGTTGTAGACGAGGACTATCAACATTCTACTTGGTTTTCAACTGTGCTTGACAATTTAAGACTGCCTTCAATCTTATTGAACAAGGGTTTTGTGATAAAAATTGAGTAATTTTTATGTTACTGTTGATTTTAGATATCTCTCTGGTATGTACCTCTCAGGATATGAACTATTCAGTTTGTTTAAACCACCTCCCTCTAGAAAATTCTTACACATTTGTAAGTTAGGCGTTGAAAATGAACCCATTCAATTTTCTTTTACAAGTTAGCTTGTTGACTTTTCACACCAATCTAATCCGTTCCAATTTTACTGCTGTTGCTTCCGACCCCCCAACTTAAGTAGACTCATGCGGCGAATGACAGTATCGAGGGATGTCAGAACGGTTTGATAAACATACGCATACGGACTTCAAACAGGCCATCGGCAACCAAGATGCACGCATTAGCATTTGCCGTATGTAAACACAAAATGACCGAAGGTACACACCCAGCACTTTTGATGGTGTGAGAATATTTTGGAATTTTTATTGGAGGATCTTGTCCTGAAATAGAAGCCAGTGTGCGGTGAAAAACAAAAAGGCTTCTCGCTTGTGTAGAATCCACAAGAAACTTTGCGTTGACCCGGCTTATTTTCTCATAGCCGTTAGACGCTTCAAATTGGAAATCGACGGTCACCATGTTGTTTTTGTTCCTGTAATGACGCCTTTTATGGATAACTTCGGTGACTGGCCCGGGCTCAACAACCAATTCACATCTGGCTAACGTCTCCTGAATCATCCAGGAGGAAACTTCCGACCACAGCTTGTTTGTGAATTGCTCATGTGCTTCTATAACTTTCTGCATCAGTGGCCCTAAATCACTCAAGCTCCATGAGCTGCACTTAGCGTCTAAGCCAGCTTTATTCTACGTCCAGCATAATTATGGACAACATTCGACATGATAATTTGGACGATTTTACCCTAATGTCTATCTCAGAAGAAGTAAAATTACAAGCACTTACTTTGAACGCGAGGTAAAACGGTCATCCAACCAGCACTTCTTGGTCTACTTCCTTAGTTCCTAAACGGTGTATGTACGAAATGTCAGGCCTGGAGGCCGCAAACTATTTGGAGCGTAGACTTGTGTTAATCCTATTCTCCCGTTTAAACCTCGGGGCCTTTTCTCAAGACGAATCCTGTCGTTTGAAGCTCGCTACTGTTAAGCGTTAAAGCCATAAGTCTGACGGAGCTTGATTCCACAAACAATGACAAACTAAACAGAAACATATGGTCTTTCCACAAGAAGAGTCTTCTCTTCTCTCATCAACTGGTTCAGTTACGGGAGCAATGTTCGGGCGAATAGACTGGCTTATAAGAGCTGATGTGTGTCATTATCTGATGACCAGGGTTCTGTTACTCCCTTCAGGTATGCTTAGTCTTAAATGCCTGCTGTGGTAGCAAAAATACTGTTGGACTGCCCACATTTTCACCGTTTTCCTGCTTACATGATGCTAAATCCAATTTCCAGCTGGCTGTCTCAGCATCGCTTCTTTGGCCGGAGATCATATTAAATTTTGGACACTTAGAAGCTTAATTTCATTAGGGAATACCTGATAGCCAGGAAGAACCATGTGAAGGTCTACGCAACGCAGAGTTTGCGGGTGATTGCGCTGACATAAAGCTCTTTTGAAGCTTACCAGTAAAACAGATGTGGGCTGCGCTTGCGCATTTAAAGCTCTCGCTTTCCGGCGCAAGAACCGAACGGTTCTCAAGTTGTGTGCATCCAGTGACGTTTACTAAAATGAAATGAGTTGAATGTTGTATTACGACGTATCTCACTATCGGAACCGCCGATGTATCTGACACGATGTTACTGAAATCGCGAACTAACGCTGTTCTATTAGAGGTAGCCATTGTTGTGATACTCTAGTAGTAAGCTTACCTTTCGGGAATACACAGTAGAAAACGTTGTCCCAATCAGTTTCCACAGGAGGGTAGATATGATCCCCCACAAGGCGCAGACCACGAAAGCAACCGGAATCCTCTGATTTATATTTCAATCCCGTGCACTTTGGAAACTGAGCGGTCAGTGTTGGGAGAAGTAGAGTCCCGTCAGCTTCTACGGGAAGCTCCACCGGTTCGGTTCCTTCTTCCTCACATATGCGGGCATAAACTACGTGATTCATTTCTGAAAATAAAGACGACTGTTGTCAAGTATTCTAGGGGCATAAGTCGTTCCGACAAGTGGTTATTTCGCGGATGCCGGTGGGATGAAAACTTTGGTGTGTTTTCAGAATTCTCCGATCAGCTTACCGACCGCCACGCGTTAAGCGTGATACACGGACGATGGACACAAAATTGCCGGAAGATAACGCATCGTTGATGCGCGAAAAGCGGTAGTTGCAGCGAAGTGACGGCTTAAAAGCACCAAATCACCTTGATCTCGTGCTCATCTGACGGCAAACTAGATTTCCAAAATGAATAATAATCGTACACCTGTAACCTTTCGGTACCTAGCTGCCATACCACCCAAACGAAGCACGAGGGCCGAAAACAGCACTCTCTTCGGCAAACAATGGTTCGGCATACAACACATGTCCCAACCAACGCAGCTCCTGGTGTTGGACACATTCTTCAATGGAAGTGCCCGTTGCACAGCCGAAAACGCGCTTTCTAACTGCCTCATCACGGATTCGCCGACACCAACTCACACGAGCTATGGGTCTGAGCTATGGGTCTAGACAACGATTGTCGAACCCCTGAAGTCCCAGTTCCGCTGCCGGTGGAACTCGCAGCCATAAAAGACAGCCTGCACTGTAGCCTGATGGACATGCTCCTTGAGACTGGGAGCGAGATGGCCCAAGTGGTTAGAGCGCGAATTCACTGACCGGAAGGTTCGCGGTTCGAATCCGACCTCCGCCACTCGACTTCCCCTTTCTAGGCATGGGCAACCTGGCAGTATCCCAGCCCTCGTGCTTCCTTCGGGTAGAATGGCAGCTAGGCACCGGAAGGGTGCTACAGTTGAACGCTATAACCTATGTTTCAATGTTCAGCTCCTTGAGACTCAGGGATACACCACTTTGACGTTATAGCAAGCGCGACCCGGGCCCTGGAGATTTGTGCACTGACCTCATCCGTCACACTACAAAATCGTTCAACTGTAGCACTCCTTCAGTGCCCAACTGCCATGCCGCCCAAAGGGGGCATGAGGGCCGGGATACTACCAGGTTGCACAAGCCTGAACAGGGGTTTGAACCACAGTCCTTCCGGTCAGTAAATTCGCGCTCTAACTACTGAGCCACCCATGAGGCGAATAATGGACCTTCAGTCAAGCCAAAGCGCCCGACATCCGTTTCCTCCCGTTAATTTCGGTGCACGATAGTGAATATGACCTCGAGACAGGGCAGCACTCCGCGGGGTTCAAAGAGCTTCACCGTGTCCCAAGACAACTCGCCTTGGCTACACGGAACCATATGAAGTGACTTCATGTGGTAGGTAACGCTCGTTTCCGATAAAAAGAGAAAGATGAACGCCAGATCCTGACCGAACGTTTGTCGACTCTTACAAGGCAGCGGGAGCAATCACACTGCGAGTTAATTCAGACCTTTGAGATTCTTGCACTGACTTCATCAGACACACTTCCATCAGAGCGAATACAACTACCGAGGTATGCAAAGTTTTCCACAATCCCCAGTGATTTTCCTTGAATTGTAAGGGATATGTTCGCAGATGGCACGTTCCGAAGCATGACTTTGCAGGTTGAAGGTGCAAAGCGTATGCCAAAAGATGGTATGATGGTGGTCAGTTTATTCAACAAGGTTTGTGGTTTGCTTTGGTTTTCAAAGATGAGGGCGATGTCATCTGCGTACTCCAAATCGACAGCGCACTCATCAGCAACAATATGAACACCGGGGTTTTGAAGACCATCNAGATGGCACGTTCCGAAGCATGACTTTGCAGGTTGAAGGTGCAAAGCGTATGCCAAAAGATGGTATGATGGTGGTCAGTTTATTCAACAAGGTTTGTGGTTTGCTTTGGTTTTCAAAGATGAGGGCGATGTCATCTGCGTACTCCAAATCGACAGCGCACTCATCAGCAACAATATGAACACCGGGGTTTTGAAGACCATCCAGTGTTCAACTCACTATTTCATCGATGACGAAGTTGAACAAGAATGGAGAGCATGGATATTCTTGTCTGACACTACTTTTTGTAGGGAAGCTTTGGAGAGCTCATCATACACTCATCCGTCCAGAAGTATGTCAATATGGTGATTGGATTATGTTCACAAACTTCTGGGGCATATTCTGTTGACCAAGTGTAGTTAACAGCACTGATCGGTCAACAGAATCTGACGCACCCTTGAATTCAAGGAATACCAGGATTGTTGGTCGCCTGTACATGTGGCGTCCCTCTAACACCTGAAGGAGTGTGAAGATGTGGTCAACGCAGCCTCACCCGGTCGAAATCCCGCTTGATTCTCACGGGTAAAGGCTTCGCGTTCCATCGTGAGACGACGAAGAATCAGTGATGCCAGAAGCCTTGTCATAACAGGCATCAAACTAACACTTCTGTGATTACTACATTCACTGCGAGTACCCTTTTTGAAGATGGCACTACTATCGATCCAACCTAGTTGTCTGGGACGGTCTTTTTCTCCCAGATACACCCAAATAGGTTAGACAAGCGCTGGCTGAGAAGTCCACCGACATCCTTGAAAAGAGCAAATGCAAGGTCGCCAAAACCAGCATCAAGACGCTTGTATAGAAAACTACAGTGGGATACTTCTGAGGCTGAAGTCGGATCCACATTCACGGTCCACCTCTCTGTTGAAAGCCAGGATTCTGGATTGGAAGTACCAGGCGGCCAGCTAAATTGCTGTTCAAAGTACTGTGCCCTGCGTCCCAAACGTTTTGCCTTGCTGTATATCAGGGAGCCATTTTGGTCTCTGATTATTAAGCTGACAAGGTCCAGTCGAACGAATCAAGTGGAACAGCTTGCGTCTTCTATTTCTTCGGCCTTTCGGGTCCACCAAGCTTCTCAGTCTGCACGGACACTCATTCACCTGGCGTCGGATGATGCGTCGGGTGGAGTTGTTGGTGGCGGCCAGGATGAATATGTCGCCAGGTCTCCAGCAAGACATAATCCTATCGGAGATCCGATGTTTAAATGAGGTTGGCCGGGTTGTACCGCAAAAAGGCATTTCGGCTTCGAGTAGCCAGTGGCCGTTTATATCCGACGCAGTGTCGTCCAGCATACATTCGAGGAGCTAGTTGTGATAGTTTCGTTTGACTTTTGGGTCCACTAGCTTCTCCATGGCTAAGCGAGGTGTGCGCGCTTCGCATACACCTGAAAATCGCAATGAAAAGCAGCAGCTTACAAGTGCATGGTCAGAGTACACGCTGGTGTCCCAGGAGCGGCAGGCGGTGATCGACCCTCGCCATCCATAACTGACGGCGATGTGGTCTAGTTGGAATCGGCGCTGGTGGGCACCACGTTGTCAAGCGATTTCACTGTTCCGTAAATTCGTACTGCAAAAGAAGTCTGTGATCGGTACACATCTGAAGTAGTCTCCGTTGTCCGTGCGTCTCGTGTCTAAACCAACAGGACCACCCAATCGGCCTCATCGGCACTTGATCTACCTAACTGGTCGTTCATATCACCAGCAATCACAACGATATCTGAGCTTTTAGCCAGTTGTAGAAGGGCACCTAGAGCGTCATAGAAACTGTCCTTGGCAGATTCAGAGCTACAGTCAGTTGGGGCATAAGCAGAAACAATAAACAAGGTGCGATGAACCTCACTTCTTCTAGATTCTCTCACCGACGTTGCCAAACGAACCGCACAGAGGCGACTGTCTACGGGTATCCAATCAAGCAGAGACGCTTCCGCTCGTTCGCTCAATACAATACTCACTACAACATATCGAGCTGCAGCGGCCTCTGCATCACCAGAGGTGCGCAGTCGGAACCTGGAAGAGAGCGAGGGGGCAGTCAGTTCGATTACAGTACTTGCGTCCTGCGTCCTTGTTTCTGACAGACAACATACATCAATACAGAGGGAATCCAGCGTACGCGCAAGAGCCACCTGTTGACCGCTTGCTTCAGTGTGCGAACATTGAAGGTGGCTAAGCAGACAGGCTTTCGGGGTTTGAAAACAGACTTCGGAGTGCTTAGGATTGTAACCGAACTCGGACATGCAGAATCTGCAGCTGAGTGTGATGCAGGGCGAGCAAAACGGTCAGTACTAAAGCTGGGACCTGCGGAGGAAATATTCAAATTTGGACGCGGGAGGGTGGAAGACGGAAAACGTGAAAGTGTAAGAAGGGGGCGTCAGTAGTAGCGTGTTTTCGCTTACCCACCCTGCTGTATGCAGCAAGTAGGGCGACCCGACTGATGGCACCGCGCGACGGCCGATGTGGCATGAGAGCATTGTTAGTCGTGAATGTCATGGTTGTTCGAGGGCTGGGATACTGCCAGAGCACCCACATCTAGACTGGACGACGATTAGGGTCCTCAACCCAAGCCTTTGGCTCGAAAGCTTAAACGCAAGGCAGCGGTGTTTGACGGCAAATGCAAATGAATTACCATTTCTAGGGAGCAAGCTGCCACATGTTCCAACGCCCAACCTGGAGGGCCAGGAGAGTGCGTTCGTCAGACCTCTACCCAAGGACCAAACTGATATGGGAGACTGTGTCGCGCGGACAACCCAAGTATAGCTCGGATCGCCGAGGCACACAAACCGCCATACCATAGTCAGGTTCAGTCTCTTCGAGCAAGGAGGTTGAATCCCCACAAAACCACTTGTGCTGGAGCACCTCAGTGGGACAAAGCCTTCAGCTGCGCCGAAACAGCATAATTTTGGATCCTCAATTAATTATTGTTTCATTTCCAACCCTTTACAATCTGTAAACTTCCTAGGCACGGAAGACTGAGCTGGCGAACCCCTCGTATAAAGCCTTCGTGGAAAAGGAGAAAAGCAATAAGGATTCAAATTAAAAGGGGGAACGATAGTGGACGACATTAGGGGCCTTTGGCACGATCACAAATTTTCCACAAAGCCGGAATTCACAGCAAGCCACACATCTGCAACAAGAGAGGCTAACATTTGTTCCCTTACATGGATGCCAAAGCCATCCTCGGTGACCTATAGCCTAGTGTTTAATGGGATGTTCGAGGGTACCGCATATACACAACAATGCCCAAATCCAATCGAATTTTTCGGGATTTGCCGTAAATTTAACACCCCCACAAAGAGTGGCGAAACCGCCTCGTCTCGCGCGCCCTACTGAAGCGGAAAAACAAACGACAGACAGCAAATAAGGTGAGGTATATTTTGAATCACCACTGGCTAGGATTCGTGATATTCACTCCGGGGTGAGAGAACTCTGCGACAGAACGTCCCTCGAAAACTTTTCGTTATGAATACAAGGCGCGTGGTACGAATCTGCCGACTTCTGGAAA